GTGGTCGTAGTCGTAGTCGTAGTCGTAGTCGTAGTCGTAGTCGTAGTAGTAGTAGTAGTAGTAGCAGCAGCAGTAGTAGTAGTAGTAGTAGTAGTTAGTAGTAATAGAAGTAATGGTAATGGCCAAGTTTTGTGATTTTGGCTTTCGGACTGTCCCTCCCAGCCAGGAAAGGAATTTGAGGGTGCGGGGTTTGGGGCTCTAGATGGCTGTGCAACCAGGGGCACTGTTTAGCTGGGCCCCTAACAGGGTTGGCCCTAAACCAAAAGAAACCCTTCGATGAGCAACTTCAAGCAAGCAAGCCCTTAGATAATCTAGTTCAGTTAGGTCCAACGGCCATTGAGGAGCCCCAAACCCCAGACAACTTATGTAGATAGAGGCATTTTGTAAATACATACACATCCAGTCCCCCTTTCAGTTTAAGCCCCAAAGGCATGAGCCCTATCCCGACATAGCCCCCTTGAAGTGCCCCTAAACCCTAAACCCTTGAACCCTAAGCCCTACAAACCTTAAAGCTCTATAAACCCCAAACACATGAGCCTTTTACATCTCCGGCCAAAAGCGCACGGATTTAGCTCCGAGTCAATCTCTCGACCTTGGCCAACTTGGAGGAAGCGCGGAAGCAGGAACTGCGAGGTAGTGCGGGCTTTAGGTAAGGTTTTTGGGTTTTGGGGTTTAGGGTTTGGGGTATCACCATGCAGGAGGCTTTTACTCGCTTCATTCTCTTGTTTCTCATGCTGTATGGTGATGTTTTGCTGCTCCAAGTTTTTTCTTCCTGGTCGGTCATTGCTGGACATGGATGTGCATTGCAGTGGGAAGTCTGTTATCACAATACGCTGCGAATGCCGCAACTTACGGTAGAAGAGATATCCGATGATTGGGCTCATCATGTGAGGTCTTTGTAAGGTTACTTTGCCATGGAGGTCTGTGTGCATGTAGAGTATCTATTTTGTAGTTTGCTCTGTTCTGAGAACGAGCACGCTCGGCGCTGACGTTGACTGAGTCGCCGTGAGAGAGAGACAAATGGGGATTCCTGTTGGGGAGTTCCAAAATTAAGGGTCATTAGCATTTTGGAGAGTCTGGCTTCCATTTTTGACATCCCCATCCGGGATCTTGAGCCCTGCAGTCATTATGTCTAGGGTGTAGGATACGAACATGCTCTGGTCATAGGCTGGACTGCGTCTTCTTGATGTCTACTGCCTTGTGCTTCCGAAGTGCCTGCTGTTTTATTGGCATGTTGGGCCCGCATCTTCGCACATGTTTCTGTTTGAAGTGTAAAAATGAACTGCAGTCCCCCTTAGGTGCATGTATGCAGAGCCGCACGCCAACCCAGGGACTCCCGCTCTGATGCCCATTTGAAAGTGAAAGGAAAGGAACTCTCAAAAGGTCCCTTGCTCTTAAGCTTTTACTTCAGTCTTCCCACATCCCAAGCTCCAGTCTCTATGATGGCTACCCAGAGGGCGGCCCAGACCGCTGTTGAGAAGAGCTCTAGCCCTGAATCGTACGTTCTAAGGTTCTATTGGCCTGATAACCTGATATCCAAGATCCCGAACCTCAAAAGCAAACCCTTCTAATCCTTACTTGGCTTTCAAGCCCAAAAGCGGAGATCCCGCCAGAATACAGGGGATGACATGCTCCAACATCTCAAACCATCTTGCACCGGCTACATGGGGCCCTCTTAGAGAATAGGTCCATCATACTTGGAGAAACCGCCTCAGTTCCATCTCACTATGCTTGGGGTTCTTGTAGGGTATGTAGTGCTCTTGTGGGCCCGAACTTGGAGATGTGGCCTGGGTTGCCTGTTTTCTGCCAACTCGCTATCGGATAGTTTCCAAAAAAGGGGCCTAGAAGGTCTTACTGGAAGTCACGCCATGCGTGGTTTCAGGATAGCATAACGTCACCCCTTCTTTGGAAACTGCTACCTACCTATGTTTAGACTATTGTTATGGTGAGACCTGCAGGCACTTGCGCACGCGCTTGGCGGGAAGTGGAATGGTGCAGCAGGCCAATTCCAAAGACAAAGGTGATGTACCGTTGGGGCAGATTTGGCCAATGCTGTCAGAGTCTATTGGGGATAGCAGCACTTGATGCTGTCCTTCACAGGGACCCAGTAAGATGCCGTGTAAAGATCTATACAAAACATAAAAATATATCCTGGAGTTTCACTGAATGGCATCAAGCATCAACACATCTCAAGGCTCTAGGCACTGCTGAAGAAAGAAGCTTGCACCGGCTAATTACTGGTAGTAAGGGAGCCTGAAGAATCCAAGTCCTTCACTCATATTCCTCTATGATGAATAGACTCTACCATGACATGCCCAGATACCATCTCCTATTATATTCATGTGAGCCCTTCTGGCACATCTGATCTGCCACTCCACTGCCCGCCACGGCCAATGTCAACGTGCAAAGAATTAAGCTCTGCGCTTCAAGGCAGAATTGCGAAGTTTGAGGAACTCTCGGGGTCTGCCAATCATGACGCAGGCATCTGGCATAATGCTGTTTCCTTGTAGGCCATCATAAGAAGCACGAGGCTTTCGCAGCTTCGTGCGAAGCACATGGAGGGAAGACCTCGTCATCCTCTCGGGCTGAAGCTCACTGCCTGAGATGAACCACAGAAGCCCTAGAGAACCCCAGATCAATCCATGTGGGTCCAAGCTAATGGTCCAACATATGGGGATTTCCAAAATTAGGGCTACCATTTTGGGGGTCCTCATAATAAGGACTATAATATCATATTTACCCGACTGGAAGCATAACTACTGTCTGGCAACTTTTCCCGTTCACTTGTAAATGCTACACCTTGCCCTGAGCTAGCGGTAACGCAGCGCTTGGGGAATCACCGGGATACAGGGAATTTTCCTGGGTTCCGCAGCCCTTGCACAGTTTAAGAGCCTTGTCCAGCTCTGGCGAGGCGATTGCCGGTGGAGGGAGGACATCCATTATCTAGTTACTCGTGTCTAAACTCCTTAAAGGGGGTTATATAGGGGATTATATAGGGAACTACTATAGGGTATATTAAGGGGGATACTAGGAGTTTAGACAGTTGTACATCTGGTTACTCTTTCTAGGTGATTGGTGCGGGCATTCAGTTTAGGTTTAGCGGAGATTCATTGGAAGTGCGGGAGATTCGTTTTCTGTTTG